TCACGCAACATATTCTCGCAACTGTACAGCTTGGCAGTTTCCGACATGCATTCGAAAAAGCACCATCGATCCTAGTAACATTTCTACAAGGTACTTATCAATTAGAACTCTGCGTATATTCCACTATCGTGTATCTCAATCACCTACTGTTGCCATTCATATAATAGCCAAAGAATCTCTGGATCGTATAGAAATTTCTCGCAGAACAGGATGTCATTAAACAGCGCCAAGATCGATGATACACATGCGAAGAGGCCTATAAATTCGTATCGCGTGACTTGCGTTTCCACGTGGTCAATTGCGCATTAAACGCGCGGATTCTGCCACGCCACAAATAATGGAGAAGTTCGCTTGCCGCGTAGAAGCAGTGAGAAGGCGGCGGTGCAGCCCAGCGTTGTGGTCGACAGAGTCGAACCCCCAGAAAGAATCCGGGGAACCCACTACACTAGTATTGCATCTATTGCCCAGAAAGGTATGCAGATAATTCATTCATATGCATTTAATTGACGACAATTTGTTGACAATGTTAAATCTTATCGTTGCTATTATTAGCTTAGATTTCAACTTGTTCGGTCTCCCTTACGATGAGGACAGCTACAATAAAGTTATCAGAGCGTGCGCATTAGTCAGAGATTGAGGAATTGCTGTCAAAACCAAGCCACGAAGAAAGAGAAGACGTTCAAGAATTATGCGAAATGTTTAACGCCCATGGTATTCTAATTAATGACACGGTATGCAGTAAGAATGTTATATATAGACATAGTTTCATGTAATGATCGTGTTGTTGAACTAATATCTTTATTAGTTTTCCTCTACAAACAATGTTTTCCGAAAGTTTTGTGTGTACGGAACGAAAGTAGATTGCCAAAAAGCCAGAAAGACTCCGCAAGCATGCCACAGAGTAAGTTTACCCCGACAGTCTGCTGGCTTGTATGATTGTTTGACTATTTACAAGTCTTTGCTCACCTTTTAACTGTAATCAGGTCCATTTTAGACCAATGTTGAAACCACACACTGATTTGGATCTTGGTGATTGCTCATATCTGAATACTTGTCATCGTATGGATACATGCAAATATGTTCATTATGAGCTAGATGAAGATGAAGTTGAATGGAAATACGTTCAACGGAAACCAATTCCGCCCAGTGTTTTATATACACATCCTACAAAAGTTCTTCCGCCGCAATGGATAAATTGTGACGTGAGAAAGTTTGATTTTTCAGTTCTGGGGAAATTCACCGTTATCATGGCTGATCCTCCATGGGACATACACATGACTGTAAGTTAAATTCAGTCATAATCAATCCGAAGCGAACATAATTCATTAACAATAATATTTTGTTTTACGACGTCGCTCACAGCTGCCATATGGCACGATGACTGATGATGAAATGAAAGCAATGGCAATTTCTGATTTACAAGATGAAGGATTGATATTTCTGTGGGTTACTGGGCGCGCTATGGAATTAGGACGCGAATGTCTTGCCATATGGGGTTACGACAGAGCTGACGAGTTGGTGTGGATAAAGACTAATCAACTACAAAGACTTATTCGTACGGGACGCACAGGACATTGGTTGAATCATAGCAAAGAACATTGTCTTGTAGGCATCAAGGGAAATCCAGAGGGACTTAACCTTGGCATGGATTGTGACGTACTGGTAGGAGAAGTTCGCGAAACTAGTCGTAAGCCAGATGAAATATATGGACTTATTGATCGATTAGCACCCGGTACTCGTAAACTGGGTAATTACATTATATTTAATTATTAATTATTATTAAAAGTTTATCCTTTAAAGTTTGCGTATTATTAAGTAATTTTTTTTAATCTACAGAAATATTTGGACGTCAACACAACACGCGTCCTGGCTGGTTGACACTCGGTAACCAGTTGGATGACGTTCGACTATATGAGCATGATGTAGTTGCACGCTACAACGCTCGTTATACGGATAAGCCTTGTAGTTTGACAGAATTACCACCAGATTGGTAGACAGGAGGTGAGCTCTTTGTTCTGTCATGGTTACCTGCTTACCTCCAGCTTCCACGGGATTTTTTGTTACTGCTTGTAATGAGAACATGGAGCAACTCTTCTCTGTCACTCCAGTTCACAATCACAATTCGTTTCCTATCGTCACCCAGTAATCTCTTAGATTGTTTTTTCGGCCAAATATCTCGAGATACTTGCCTGGAGGAAAGAGCACATATCAAAGTCATGTAAATATAGGCACTGTTTATGAACATTTGGTAAATAGAATGTATTTCATTGATGCTGGAATGATAGAATCCCTTTT